TGGAGAAAATGATGGAATCAGTGGGCCACTGTCACACTGCAGGGCCTTATGGAGCCAAAGAGCGCTTGAAACAGTGCAAGTTCATGGAATCAAGGAGCCACTGTCACATTTCAAAGCCTCAAGAAATAAGGGATCCAATATTTGCCTCAGATTTTGTCAACAAATTAAATTTAAGGAATTCCAGAAGTGTGATTGAACCACTTTTGTCCCACAGGTTTTAATGATTGGTAAAAGGAGAATATTTATATAAAATGAATCATTTATTCTTACAAATGACCAGACAAAAGATCTTAATCAGAATTATTTACTACACAGTACGAAGGCTAAAACTACTAGTAGTACAGTAGAAGATAGGATAGTGCATTATATTGAAGCAATTCTTGAAACAATTCTATTAAAGCTAGCAAAAAGAAATAATTGTTACGTAGAGTTCTGGTGTCACTCACCCAGACCAATGGTCTTGGGGAGATTTCTTTTGCTCAGCCTTGAGGAGTGTCCTTGGAGGGCGTCCCCAGCTAAGGCAGGAATCTCCACACATACAGCCCAAGAAGGGCTCTGTTAGAAGAAGCTGCCTGTAGGAAAGGGGACTGGACTGCTCTAGTATGAAGTGATTGACTGCTCCTCACAAATGTCCAGGCCAGTTACCAGCTTGTCTGTCACATGCAACTTCAAAAAGCAGGATGAGTGTTTGGAGTTTGGTGAACCAGGCTGCTTTGAGCATCATTCAACCCCCAAAACATTCCCATGGTGCCACTGGCAGCTCCCAGATCTCCCAGAGAGCTTGCAGGAGACCTTGCACTGTTGGCATTGTCTGATGGGATTTTAGGCCTTCTCAGGGTAGGCCCTCCTGCAACACGGGTAGAGAGGTTGGTTGTGAAAGTCCATCCTGGAGATGCACAGGTACCCAAGAGTTGGGCTACGGAGTGACATCCAGCAAGATCAGAGTGTCTCAGGTAGAGCTGGACTGGCAGCACAAGGGGGAATTCTTCCTGGCTCGGTGGGCCCATGACACCTCAGGTCCTCAGGGCAGGTGTGCAACACACAGCTGGGCTTGTGATCCAGGGCTGGATTTACCCATGGACACCACCTGCCAGCTTATCCAGAACTGTGAAACGTGCTGCCATCAAACAGGCCAAAAGGGTAAAGCCCCTGTGGTGTGGGGGATGATGGCTGAACTAGAGATGTGGGGAGGCCTGGCAGATTGATCCCAGCACACTCCTCAAACCCATCAAGGCAAGCTCTCTGTGCTGAAAATGGTGGACACAAGCCCTGGAGTGCAGGAGACACACCCTGTGCCTCACAGCACTGCCCACACCACCATCCTGGATCTGGAAAAGCAAGTCCTGTGGAGACACAGCACTCCAGAAAAACTGGAGTTGTGTAGCTTTTATAATCAGCTTTTTGCAGTCCAGAGATCTTCTATGGTTCCAAGGGGACTCATATTACCATAGTCTTTAGCACAGGGGGTAATGGCTCTGAGTCCTTTCCCTGTTTCCAGGGGGTCCCTTCCCACGGGAGACAGTCCTTGACAGATCTCTCCAGAGGGAGTCCATCCAGCCCTCCGACAACAATTTGTTTCAATTGTTGCCCCGTGGATGACTCCCCAAGGGGGTGCAGTCCTTCATGGGTTGAGCTGTATCCATGTGGGAATCCTCCCAGGGCTCCAAGTTCTACCTGGGAAAACTTGCTTGCAGGCGTGGGCGTCCCTCTCCACGGGCCACAGGTCTCCAGCAGGGCTTGGCTCCATCGCAGGCCTCCCACATGGTTATGACTTCTTCCATGTATCTACCTGCTCCAGTATGGACTTCTCCACAGACTGCAGGAAGGTTTCTACACCCTGAAAGTCTTTCATGGGCTGCAGGGGCTTCAGCTTTGCCCTGTTTCTGGGGAAGAGGGAGGGGGAAGGCCCCCTCCCTTCTCTTTGCCCCCCCTCCTGCTGCAATGACCTTGGTGACTGCTTGCTCTCTCTCAGAGTGGAATTTCTTCTGTGCCACACAGCCTTCTCTTCCTCTGTTCTTCAATATGTGCTCACAGAAGCGCATTTTCATTGGCTCAGCCTTGGCCAGGAGCAGGAAATTCACCTGGAGCTGGTTATCTTTGGCTTTTCATAGGCCCGTGAAAGCTTCCAGTAGCTTCTGACTGAAACCACTCTATAGCCCCTTCCGGCTATTAAAACCCATGACACTCTGCCAGGGGTGGAGTCTCTTGCCACAAGGAACTGCGGTGCTGAGATATTCCTTCTCCTGCTCCTGCCATACTGCATGGGGAGAGAGCCCTGGCCTTGGGAACACCTGCTTTTGCTGAAGGAGACAACCCCCTGCACGTTGCTGCACAGGATCCTGATGTGGCACTGCCGCAGCTTCCTGGGAGCCATGGCTTGGGCACCGGTGTCTCGGGGACAGGAGCTGCTGGGCCACCTGCTCTGGCAATGCCTCACTGCAATGGCCTGGGCTCCCACTCTTCCTTGCAGCCTTTTCCTGCCCATGTGCATGTTCAGCCAGGAGCGGGCTCTGCTGAGAGCTGCAGCTCCAAGGGACCAGGAACTCCTATCGACAGAGACTTCATCCATCTGCAGGCCAGCAGGTCTCACCAACGCTCTGGCAGGATGAAGGCTCTGTCCAGAGGTAATGCAGGTGTGCAGGAGATATTCCCTTTCTTGGTCCTCCACAGATGGAGAAATAGAGCGCCCTGGAGATGGGAACAGCTGCCTTTCCCACTGGAGGATCTTGTCCAGCACCTTCCCATATGGCACTGCCATGGCGTCCGTGGAGCCATGGACTGGGCACTGGCAGCATCCCCTTGCTAGTCTGTCATTCTCTCTGCACAGCTTTGTCTAAATCTTCCTCTTGGTTTCCCATTCCAGGTGCACTGGAATACAGGCACTTCAGGAATGATCCCAGGGGGACAGTCCATAATCCTGTCTTGTAGGCTCATGAGAAGAAGAAAGCTCTACTGAACAGAAGCAAAAGAGAAACAAAAATCTAGAAAAATATTTACCAGTCTCATCTTAAAACAGAAGTCAAAGCAGTGCAACAGAACATCGAGCCAACTACAGTTTTCATGACAGCTTTGATACAGCTTGGAAGTCAGAGTTTGAACCAGGAATTGCAAAATATCCATGTACTGCTCCTAGCAAGTTTTATTAAACTCTTCAATTCTACTTCTGTCCTGCTTTCTGGCATACAAAGTTTGTCTGCAGGTCAAAGAAGGACAGACTCAAGCTTGTATAGGAACTACTTTTCTTGAGTTCATGCACGTTACCGGGCTGTGAATATTCCTGACTTCTAATCGTTGAAACATCAACTTTGCAAGAGAGATTATTAACAGGAAAAATAGCTAAATTGAGTCCTGGAAGAAAAAATGAGTTTATTCTTTTGGTATTTCAGTACTCAAAGCCTTGAAGCCCTTTTCACAATAGGGACATTTGTATTAACAGTGTTCCCATATGTGCCTTTTCTTCCTACAGGAATCCAACCAGACTAATTTGTCACTGCTCCAAGGAATTGCCAGCAGCTTTTGCTCTATTTTCCCATCATTTATCTCTTTGATAGACAGTACCATTTGAAAACACTGGCACTCCTATATTTGAAACTCCCAGCATGGCACAGGGATTTGAGAGCTGAACTTGAAACTTGATCAGTGATAGTGACAGTATGGGATCAAGAACTAGGAGATATCAGGACAAAAGTTCATCCAATGCACACACCCAAAAATCCTTCCCAAAATAGACATTGATTTTTAAACTGAAGATATTTTCATTGGTCTTGAAGGGGCAGTTTCTTCCACTAATCACCCAGGATGGAGCAGGGAACAGAAGGGACCACACTGTGCCGTGCAAGGCTCCCATGATGTAGAGTCCAGGCTACCTTGCAAAGATTTAAACAACCTTGGCATGAACAGCAAACTGTCAGTGCCATTTCCAGGCCTCCATAAGAAAAGGATGCAAGTATGGGGCCTTAAGGGCAGCTGGGAAAATAAAACATGCAATTATTCCAGCAAAGCCAAAGGCAGCCTAAAACAATTCAGAGACTGAGGGGGTCCAACAGCCCTAGAAGTCCCCCCCTCAGGTTTCCCTTTCTCTGGATTGAGTTCCGTCAAATCAAGCACCTTGGAAGCACTGCCCCTGGGAGAGCTGGAAAGGTGTTGGGCTCTGTATTTTCACTAAAGGCATCTCTATACATGGGAGTAGATCCAGCTCTGACACAGAGCCAGGCTACAAGATACATTTGTTTTCCAAGTTTGGAGAGCCCCTTCTTCTCCTGCCTAAACCATCCTTTCCAGGAGTGCTGCAACAACACCAAAACACAGACTTAGCAGGTTTGGTTTCGGCATCAGAAGAATAGTCAATTGGTCACGTACCATATTCTCAGGGGCTGAGAATGTCACTTTGGAGCCAGGCTAAATGATACCAACTTTCACAAACACTTCCTTTAGGTTAGAACAATCATTTAACTTCAACTTCTCCAGTTTGGTATTTCCCCAGATAATCTCTTGAAAAGCAACAAACAATAAATAAATTCTCCTTTGGGTTTCTTAGTGGCTATAGGTTCTGACTGTCACAAGCAATTGCAGCAGACAACTTCTTTCATAAAGACATCACAGAACTATTTGCCCCCTCTCCCAAGTCTCTGGAAACTGCTTCCAGAACTCTGCTACTGGGAAAGGAAAGGCCACCTCCCAGCTCTGGGGGATTTCAGGACTCTCAATACATGCAACTTGTCAACCCCAAGGTCATTTGGGAGCTGAGGGAGTATGGGGGGAATTCCAGGTCAAAGACTATTCTAAAAGAGTGGGGCATTTCAGTGCCTCAACTCATTTACTTTAAGCACAGCATTGTCTGCATGTTCCTTCACTACAACAAGGATAATTGTCCAGCCACCTTTTCTCTTTTAGAACACTACAGAGTGTCCTTCTCAAAGTCTTGGTGTTAGTTTACCTTGGTCAATAAACTCTATTCACCTCCAAAAAAAAGAAAACGTTTTTTTTTGCTTTCCCTGGATTCTGTGTCAGCCTTAAAACACCGCAGGGATGAGCCGGTAGGGCACTGCAGCAGTGTAGTGCTTCCAGTCCTTCCCATATTTGCTGGAACAACAGTGCTCCTCCCTAACACAGAGGTGAGGGAGCAGAATGGTCACAGAAACAATGCAGAAGTAAGGCAAGATGTGTGCAAACCCACAGGCCAGGCAATAGGCCAGTGAGCCCAGCAGGTCTCCTGCAGAGTTGCAATGACGAGCCCACCCCCAAAATCCCCAGGTCATCAACTTGCTGTAATACTTGGTGCCATCCACACACATGGAGGAGCACTCGATGTCCTCGGGTTTCTTCCCCCAGATCCTGCAGTTCCCATCTGTACGACAGAAAAGGTCCTTCTCTGGTGCTTGGTCACTCGGAAGATGTGGTAGCCAATCCAGCCCAACATCAACACCCCCACGGCATTGGCTGTGCCCAGCTGGACAGGCTGGGAAACCAAAGACAAACCCTGGGGAGCACAGAAACAACAGTCACTGACTTGCAAGATGTGCTCAGCATGCCAGACCAGTTACTTGACTACAGTGACCCACAACAGACAAGAAGAAAGGATGGAAAAACCCACTCCACCACTACGGCTGTGGAAAACTTGCACAAAACTCTGCATCCTCCATTTCCCTTCTCTCTTTCTCTCTCCAAAACTGCACTTCTCTGTGAAACAAGAGAGAGAAGTTGTCAGGATGCAAACAAAGCAGGAGAGAAGGAAAAAGCCAAAAATCCAAACTCTTCCCTGTATTGATTACCTTGGGGTCTCCTCAGTACAAAGCACAGCACCACATGGACTATTCTGAGGTGTGCAGGCATTTGGACTTCTGCCTGTCTCACACACACACACAGTCAGGTGCAGTTCTGCCCTCAGAAAAAAACTCACCCAACCCTGCTGCAGCTAAAACCATGGAATTTGTCTTTGTTTCATTGGCATTCAAGATCAGGCTGTGCCTGTGTCCAGAACAGAGGCTCAGAAAAGCATTTCTTCAGTTTCCAGTGAAATCTGGTGCTGACCTAACCAAGGCACTGGTGACACTCTGAGTGAACAGTAGTGTTTCCAGTGGCTCTCTGAAGGAACACAAGTGTCCAAGGAAACCAACACAAGTGTCCAAAGAAGTCTCACTACTTCATCACTGAATGAGCTTCTTCTGACCAATTTCATTTCCCGTCTAGTTTAATTTCCATGGAAGGAGGTTTTTGTCTACTTTATTAGGAGTTAATTTCCAAACTGCTTTCTTAATTTCCTCCTCTGCATTTACCTGAAGCACATTGACAAGGATCGTGGAGTTTGTCACTTGGCCATGCAGCTCCTGGTCTTTGGCAGTGCAGGAAAGGTTAAGGAGAGTCCAGGCTACAATTCCAGGGCACCCATTGAAGAAGAGCTTGAAATCAAACCATGTTCCTATTCGAGGTTTAAAGTCAATGCCCAGTATGTAGTAAAAAAGAAATTGCTGGAAAGCAGGAAAAAATAGAAAAATAGAAAACTATGTTTTGATGTTGCGGGTATCAAAGAGGGAGGCTGTGGATTAAAAGCTGTGGGTCTGGGAGAGCCATTTACTCCCCATTGGTCATTCCCCATTTTTACAGTATCCCACAGTCGTTCAGTCCAATTGGATTTCTGAGGTTTTAGAAATCATTTAAGCAGGCCATTTTTTCTTTCCACTATGCCATTTGCTTGTGGATAATAGGGGGTGTGAAAAATCCACTGGATTCCTTCTTCCTTGGCCCACTCCTGGACGATGGCAGCTGTGAGGTGTGACCTGTTGTCTGATTGGATAGATCCAGGTTTTGGGAAAAAACTGAACCCCATTTGAAGAGCTTCTGGAGTGTTTGTACTGGTTGCCCGAGGGAAAGCTTCTGCTTGCACTAATCCTGACCCAACTTCCACTCCTACTAACACATACTGTTTTCCCTCAGATTTTCTAAAAGGTCCAATCTAGTCTGTCTACCACGTGTCCCACAGCCCTTTTCTGTCTCTTCTGTGTAACGGGGTTTGTTCTAAAGGGTGACACTCCAGTCAGGTTCTGCACTGCTCACATGAGGATGTGCAGGTGGGGTACATCTCTCGAGTCACTGCCCATCCATCCCTGCTTCCTGCTGCTCTGCATAGGTCTTGTGCCCCTGTGTGCTGTGGCTTGAAGTGCAACCATTCTAACAGTCTGTCCCAGCTCTCTGCAGGAGTTGTTACACTTGGAGGGGCTAATCCGGCCAGTTCATCTACTTGGTTGTTCCAGTGGCCAGCTGGAGTTTCATTTTCCTGATGGGAGGTTGCCCATCCGACTAAAAAATTCCCTTTCTTTGCTAGAGCAAGAATTTCTTGCCATTTCTCCTTTTGCCAAACAGGGATTCAATTCACTTCCCAGTCATTTTTGTCCCAGAAGGGGAGCCACTCAGTACACCCTTTCAACACAGCAAAAGAATCTGTGCAAACATATACAGAGTCAGAGGTTTCAGCTTCATGGTTAAATACCCTCCAAACTGCTCCTGATTCCCCTGCCTGTGCACTGCCTTCTCCTTCCGGTACTATTTTGTCTCCTGGATGTCCCTGTAAAGCCACAGCACGATATTTCCAAACTTCCCCTTCAGCACAGCTGAGACATCAGTAAACCCCCCATTCTGCAATTGCTCTGAGTGTGGGGGTGCCACTTGAACCACAGAAGGGGAGAATCAGCAGTGCTATTTACAGTCACCTCACCTTGTCGGGGAGGATTTTTGTGAGCTCCTTCTGTTCCCTGAAGGATGGTGCAATAATGTCCAATTTGAGCATTCCATTTCCCAACAGGAGCTGGCTGGGCCACCCTGTCAGGGGGTGGGGTTCCTGTCAAAACAAGCTCGATGACCTTAAAGGGTCCCCTTAAAATCAGAGACTGCTGAGGGACAATTTTTTCTGCTCCACAAAAGCAGTGCTCTCCACAAATAAGCCCTTTTCCCAGGGGCATCTTTGACACGGCGTGAATAAAACCCTACAGGCCTGGTGGGATCATCAGGGCCTCTCTGCCCTCAGTGTATGGACAGTCTGGAGCTTGCAAATCTCCCCTCAATTTGTGCTGGATCGGTGGGGTGTATGGGACCTAGTGAGTGGTGTGTGTTGGCCTCAAAAATCAAGAGTTGTGGGGCTTCTTCGTGAAGGGAGTCCAATCCCACCTTGCTTTTTTCCACAACAAATTATATAAGGGTGATGCAATTATTGAAAAATGGGGGATGTGTTTTCTCCAGAAGATCAGCAGGCCTAAAGCATGCTGCAAATCCTTTTCCTTCTCTGCTGGTTTAAGTTGGTGTAGGCAGGTGAGCATGTCTGGGGGAATACAAAGCATTCCTCCCCTCCACCAAATTCCCAGGAATTTTACTTCTTGTGAAGGAGGTTGTACCTTTTCAGGAGGGACATGTAAGTCCAGGGACTCAAGACGCCTGATAATGTCTGTTTGGGTTGTTTGCACAGGTGCAATTTCCTTTCCTGCTACCCAACTGTCATCAATATATTGGTACACTGTTAGTGCTGGTGCAGGAGGAATGAGTGACAGTTCCTGTGCCAGTGCATGATGTGCTAGAGTGGGTGAGTGTTTAAATCCTTGTGGGAGACGGGTAAAAGTGCATTGCTGGCCCTCCCCGTGAAAGCAAAGTGCTCTTGATCCTTTTCCTGCAGGGGAACCATAAAAACCATGTCTGTGATGTCAATAGTGGCCATAATTTGATGGGCTTGTTCTCGGATGGTAGCTATGAACTCAACTGTATTTGGGACTGCTGCAGTGAGGGGCCCCTATTTGTGTTCAGACTTGGGGAGTCTCCCGTCAGCCTCCAGTGACCATTTGGCTATGGATGGATGTCCCAGTGTGTTAGGATACATGTCCGGAATAAAGACAAGTACAACAGTCATTCAAACACTAAAAAATACCTTTTATTACAGTGAGTGTAAAAAATCTATTAGCAAAGAGAATCAAAAGCTAAACAAGAATACAAAAAGCCTACCTTATCTATTGGTGTTCATACAATACTATGAACAGCCTCTATTAAAGTATTAGCTAGTAAAAGGGGAATTAAAGGGATACAATATTAGCTAGTAAAAAGGGAATTAAAGGGATACAAGAAAAAGGATAATGAAATGTTTGCTTTCCCGGTTGCTTTCTATCAATAACCTGTGCTTACCTGCACAGACAGGCCAGGGCTACCAGGATCTGTGGGGGCTGGTCGGTACCCGTCCTTAGCAGGCATCCCCACGGAGCAACACAGTGTGGATGGAAGAATGAACATCGCTCGACCCAGCAGTCCTGACACCCCACTGATCAGCTCTGCATTACACTACGTAGGGCCAGGATGCAGTATAAGGTGGTGCTTGAGTGGCAGCCAAACAGCGCCTGTTCATCACCTCATGGCAACAGTCTGCACATACTCTACTGCAGGGCAAGGGGCGAATGACCCCTGCCCACATCATCTTCCTCTCTCCATCACCTTCCTCACCCCTATGTACAACCTCTCCCATTGTGTTTCAAGGGTATTTGTATCTATCTTGCAGAATGTGACCAAGCCAAAGAGGAACTCAGCTATGATAATAAGGGACATCTAGTTAACTTTGCTAAAGGCACAATGGACCTTACAGTCAACTTGTGCAGTAAAGTTACATTGTACAATGGCTGGTTTCACATGCTAATAGAATCACTTTCTCATCCCTCTATGCTCCATTGATCATCTAAATCAAAAGTATCCCCCTTACACTGTGCCACCTTCCCCCAGGTCTAAATCTCATTTTCTTCGCAGTAAGGACCAGGGGTTAAAGCTGCTTCTGAGGTGGCTGCACTTCTTTCCCCTTTGGTGAGGCTTTCTATTTGTCCTTTTGGCTGAATGCCAGTGGATTTCACAGCCTCGGGGAGACCTCTGAGAAGGGCAATCATTCTTTCAGGGTCTGCAGGCAGCATCACAGGGTAGTCAGGTCTTGCTGTTAATTCCCTATCATGCATCATTTGTAAACAAGTGGCCTATTTCACATTTTCCACAATCTGATTAACATTTCCCACTCTAGGCAGGGGATCTCCCCTTTGCAGGGGGTTGAGTCTGCCTGCCCAATAGGCTGCTCTTTGGGGAAGGGACCAGAGCACACGAGAATCTCCTGTGGTCAGGAAAACTCCAGCTCCCCAGAACCCTTCAGCCTCTTTTTCTGATAACAACATTTGGTCAGCCCTAGTAAGAGAGACTCTCCAAACATAGATTCTGGAGGGGTTCTGCTATATTCCTTTTTTAACTTAGGTAATTCAGGCACAGTATATGGAACTACTTTTGGAGTTATTTGATGTGTGTAGTTATCTGAGCCCTCATCTGTGTATTCTGTTTTAATTAGGGGATGGAATGACACCGACAGCTTTTCCACTTGGTCACGCAAAGCCCTGAAGTCAGAGAGGGGGGATATTTCTTTAGATGACTCCAGCTCTAGCTCCTTTGTCCCTTCTCTCATTAATCTTGCATACAACTCCTCTCGGAGCACATGGGCGTAGCCCTTTCATTCCTTATCTCTTCCTGGAGGACATTGACAGTAGCCTCTCATTCCTCCACCTGCATCTGCAAAGATTTAACCAAATCTCGCAGTGCAGTAACAACTCCCATACGAGTTTTTGCTTCTGCAGCTCCCGCGGTTCCCGTGCGTGGAGGTGCCGGGCGGGCCGGGGTCGGCGCCGCGCGCTGATTGGCTGCGGCGGGCGGGGGGGGGAGGTCGTGGCCGCGCGCTGATTGGCTGCGGCGGGGAAGTCTTTAGAGGCGGCGCGCGCGCGCGCGCGGCGCCATCTTGGCCATGCGGAGCCGAGGGAGGTGGTGGCGACGGCTGCGCTGAGCTGTGAGAGCTAGTGAGGCTGCGGCGACGGCTGCGCTGAGCTGTGAGAGCTAGTGAGGCTGCGGCGACGGCTGCGCTGAGCTGTGAGAGCTAGTGAGGCTGCGGCGACGGCTGCGCTGAGCTGTGAGAGCTAGTGAGGCTGCGGCGACGGCGGGGCTGTGGGGGGAAAGGCTGCAAGGCTCGGGAGGGCTTAGCGGAGGGGTTCGGGGGTTTCCGAGGAGGTTTTGAGGTCCGTGAGGGGCCTTTGGGGGGTCGCTGAGGGGGTTTGGTGTCCTGAGGGGGGAGGTTGAAGGTCCCTGAAGGGATTTGGGGGTCCCTGAGGGAGTTTTGGTCTCTGAGGAGATTGAGGGGTCCCAGGTGGGCGGGGGAGAGGAGGGTTGTCTCTGAAGGGGTTTGGGGCTCCTGGGGGGCTTTGCGGGGATCTTTGAGGCAGTTTGGGGGGGCTCTAGGGAGTTTAAGCGCTTTTGAGGGCCCCTGAGAGGGACTGGAGAGTCCCTGTAAGGGCTGGGGGGGTCCCAGGTGGGTTTTGCGAGTCACTGAGAGGCTTTATGAGGTCCTGCTCGGGGGCGGGGGGAAGGTTGAGTTCTCTTAGGGGATTTGGGGTGTCCTTGAGGAGGTATCGATGGGTGCAGGGGTGGATTTTTGAGGGGATTTTGGAGGGTCTCCGTATTAGTCCTGCCTAGCCACGGCCAACTCCGACTCCCGCGAGACCCGCAATTTTCCGCCGTCCTACAGCTCTGCCTGCCGGCCCGGCAGACCCACGCCAGGGAAAGGGCATTCTAATGCCCCCCTCCCGAACCCCAGACACCCCCAAAACTCCCCATCAGTGATGTTCAGAGGGTCCCGCAGCCCCCAGTGGAGGGATTCTGGAGGTGTCCCCCGAAGTCTTGGGGGGAAGATGTACCACATTTGGGTAAAGGGATGCCCCCAGTATAGCTCAGTGACCTCCCACTGCCCCTCAGTATGGCCCAATGACCCTCCAGTGAGCACCCAGTAACCCCCAATATGGCCCAGTAACCTCTCAGTGTCCCCCCTGTGTCCTGGTAATCCTCCAGTTCCTGCCCCCAGTCCCTCCCACTGCCCTCTCAGCGTCCCTCAGTAACCCCTCAGTGTGTCCCAGTATCCCCCAGTAACCACCCAGTGCCCCCTAAAGTCCCCCAACTGTCCCCAAAGGCCCAGATGTCCTTGGCCTTTCAGTGAGCATTGGGAGGTGGGGGGGGGGGGGTTTGGGGGTCAGAGCGTCCAGGGAGGGCTGCTGGGGGGAGATGGAGGGTTGGGGACATCAGGAATGGGGTTTGGGGATGGGGGGAAGGGGTTTGGGGACAGTGGAATTGGGGATGTCAAGGGGGAAATTGGGGCCATGGGGAGGCCCTAGGGACATTGAAGACACCAGAGGGGTTTTGGAGTGTCAAGAGGGAAACTGGGGACACCAAGAGGGTCCTGGGGACACCAGGGGGGGACTCAGGACTCACTTGCTCATGGTGCTGCTCCTCCTTTCCCCTGACAGGCCCCAAGAACCAGCCTCAAATGTCCCCTAACCCCCATTTTTACTTTAATCCCCTTCCCCACAGATCCCTTTGACCCCCAAATGCCCCCAATACCCCTTTTAACTCCTCCAAATGCACCCAAAGCCTCTCAAACCCCCCCAAAGAGGGATCACCCAGCACCCTGCTACAGGAACACAGTGGGCTGTACTGGGGGCTCTGGGCTCTATGGGAAGGCACTGGGAAGGGCTCAGGTGTCCCATGGCAATGTGGCCCAGCTCCAGGAGAGATCTGGGGAGCAGTGAGGAGGTCCTGCTCTGTTCTGGTTCGTAACTCAATCCCCAAAGCCCCTCCCCAGCTCCTTCAGGATCTTCCTGGACACCAAAGTCCCCCAGACCCCTGACTTGGTCCTACTGCCCCTTGAGCATCTCCAACTGCTGCAGAACCAGGCATTTCATGAGCAAATTTGCAGATGACACCAAGTTGAGAGGGAGTGTTGATCTAGTGGAAGGCAGGAGGGCTCTGCAGGGGACCTGGACAAGCGGGAGAGGTGGTCTGGTTCTAGTGGGATGAAGTTCAATTTGCCGTCATTAAACCTGGGGGACAAAAGTGGTTCAGCCCTACCTCTGTAATTCCTCTAAACTGAAACTGTTTGCATAATCCAATGCTGAGATTGGATCCAGCAGCCCCCAGCACCCTACAGTAGATTAGGAGCTTAGGGGACCACTCCCCTTTCCCAGCCCCCCTGTGCCTGAAGACCCCCATGGGACTGTCAGACCTGCCAGATCACCCCTCCTTTTCTACCCTTCTCCCTGTTCCTCCCACTTTTCCATGGTCCCCTCAATCCCCAGCCCCCACAGGATCACTCTGGGAGTCCCAACCCCCATTTTTCCCTCCTCTCCTTTCCACATCCCCCAAACCCCTCATGCTCAGTTTGGGGGTCCCACCCTGCTCTTTCCTCATTCTTCTGACCTCTCCCACCCATGATCCCCCAAACGTCATTGCCCTGCCTCCCTCCACTTTTAGGGGGTGCCACTCCCCTCCTACTCTGTTTGTGGTCCCACCACCCCTTTATCTCTTCTGATCCCTCTTTTCCCACTGACCACCCCCTTCCCACTCCTCATTCCCCCAAGAGCTTCCAGCCCGCCTCCAACCACCAGTGCCCTGACAAGTCCCCCCAGAAAAGAGGTTGGGCGGGCTCCTGGGTGGGCTTTGAGTGTGTTTGGGGGTCCATGAGGGGCTGTGGGGAGGTTTTTCAGGGTCCCAGAACTTCTTGGGATGTGCTGGGTGCCTGTTGAGGGGCAAGTACCCTCCTAAAACACTTCCAGAGGGGGCTTAAATGTAGGGAACACAGTGGGGTCTCTATTCCTGATCCTGGGGCCAGATCTGCCTCCCCTGAACTTGACTCGTCCCCCAAGGACTCCCAAGCACACCCCCACTACTGGCCCCCAATAACTGGGACTGGGGAGAATTGGGAAGCTTTCCTGGGATCACCGGGAGCAGCCAAGTGGTGTCAAAAGCAGGGATGGGGGGACAAACGACCCCCCCCAAATCCTCGTGGGGACAGGGAGGAGGGTCCAGGCTGGGCCCGAGGAGCTGGGGAGGGGCTGCAGCCACCACCAGCTCAGGAGCTCTATGGGGAGAGAAAAGGTGGTAATACTGGGGTGGGGGGTCCCCAGGGGGGCACTGATACTCTGGGTGGTACACACAACCCCCTGGGACACCTCTAACCTTCTGGCGCAGGTAGAAGCCGAGCCCCAGTGCCAGGGAGACAAAGGCCAAGGTGAACCCCTCAGCCCCTACTTAGGAGCCATTTCTGAGGCTAATGAAGCCCAGCAGGGGCTGAGGACATGGCTGTGATGCCCAAAAAGGCGCATTGAAAACTGCTCAGAGACAGTTTGAGTCTTTAA